GGCAGCGGCGCGCCGCCGTCGCCGCCCGGCCCCGCCAGCGCCTCCCCGTCCGCCTCGGACGCGCCCGCGCCCGCGCCGTTCCGGTGCTCTGCCACACAACCACGCCGGGCCTCGCTGCGACTGCCCGCCCCGCACACACGCGTAGCACGGCATCACACCGGTTCACATAGCATGGTTGAATAAAATGCGCCCTTCTGCATACTAATGTGAACGCAGAGCAATATACGTAACAGTTATTTTCGTATTAAGTGTGTACAGTTTCAGTTTCTTTCACGGTCGAGATTGAGATTTTTTGCCGAGACCGTAGGTCGAAGCAAAGATACCTCAATCTCGACCGTAAATAAACGGAAACTCTCCCACGAAATATGTACATGTTTTTCTACAACGGAATAATAAAATATAAAAGGATGTGTAAACTTGTATTGGAAAAATAAGCCTGATTCCCCGGACAAAATAGAAATCCATTTCGTAGGGCTACGATTAAAGAAGAATTCTGAAACTATGCAAAAAGACATTTTTTATGGTAAAAAGATAGTTGTCTGGGCAACAATCTTTCTTAAATTGATACTATTAAAAATGACGAACTTTACGTACGGCTAGCGATGCACAGAAGTTGCCTTTTTTATGCAGTTGTAGAAAAAATATATTTTCTCACCAAATGAAAGAAAAGGGAATATACATAATATAGTTAATATTGACCGTGCCCTCTTGAGAATTTATTAATAAATCAATCTTGTGATTCTTACATCTTTGATTCAATCAACTTGTTACATATTTTTATATAAAATCATCATTAGACCACACATAAAATCATCATTCCTTGTTCGCATTAATACCCACAACACTGTATTTAAATTTCAGTTACTCACAAACAACATTTAGTTTCAGATCTGAACTACATTTGGATTGTATCTTTTTATTAAAATATTTGTAAAAAATTATTACTATGTTGGCAATAGATATTACCAGAGTGCATGATTAAAATTTGCACAGAATCTACAGACGTTGCTCAAAGAGTTAAAAAACATTCTCTTTTCTGAGGCATCCCGTAAAAATGGAGAATATTTTGTCTCTCAGAGATATTTGAAAGAAAGGGGAAAAAACGGAAAACTCAAGACATCTGTAGTTTACACTAACAGTCACTTGTTGAAACGTGAGGCCAGCGTCACATGCTGCTGAAATTACGAAAATCTTTTAAAAGCAGAGAGCGAATCACCCAGTGAATTGATAAAATTTTCAATTTTAGCAATATAATAAAAAAAATGTTTTTAACGGTTACATTTTGACGACATAATACAAAATCTGTTTCAGCTCATTGTTGATCTTACATTAGAGCTCGGACATATGTGATTATTATAACTACAATTTATTTACATTTGTCTAATATAATAAAGAAAGTGTTACACTACATTCTATATAAGTTATACAATTTCATAAATCAAATAAATCAAGAAAATCATGGGGCTACAATTGTTAATTTTAAAGTCACTAAACATTATTTTTTGTTACAACGTATTTGCAAGTTGTAAGAAATCTAGTAGGCATTCGGATAAGGAATAATGGTCAGCAAAGTTAATCACAAATATTGTTGTGTAGTTTCGTAAAATATTTCGCGTAAAAGGAAAAAAAATCTTGATACAAGGAAAAGATCCCTTTTCAAACCTACAATGTGCACAAGATAATTTGAAATGTCCTCAAAGTCTCGAAATTAAAAGCAAGCCGCTCCATAATTTGAGGATTAATTTTTAACGAGGCGCCCCCGAGTGTGAAATGACAAAGGGGGCTGATTAGGGCCTGGTCGGGGCGGCGCATGTGAAGCGCGACCGCGGCCCGAAGCCCCTTCCGCTGGGAGCCAATGTTCGTGAAAGCCCTGGAAATTCGGTATCTCTGTTTTGTGAACATGGCATGATGTGATTTGCGCTGTTTGTGGAAGTTAAATCGCGCAACACCGTGAGAGATCAAGCAATGATTAATACTCGGTTGGCAGTAATGTGGTGATTACGATACTGAAAATGAAGAATATCTGTTCATAGGCATTTGGAGCGCGATGTTTCGTCATCAAGCAGAAACTATGTTACGCAGAAACAGTGTACTCAATAGCGACAAAAAAATTCCTGCAATTTCGTTCTATCAAGAGCAATATTGGGGAATCGAACATTTGAACGCTCGCGCTATGCCGTGAAGGGATAATTTGCTCGTATTATTTTAAACCCAAATTTGTATAAGCGCTGTGTCATAAAAAATATTACAGACAGAAAATACGGAACTACGATGGTTCTCATACACAACGAAACAATTCTGGGTAATTCTCGCACGTCAGTAAATAACGAAAACTATTTTCATTACTTTCATTAACATTACAATAAAATTATTTTAAATAAAAAATACTTCTATGTTTATCATTATAAGGCAAACCTATAAGGCAAACGAATGTACAAAAAATAAAAAATAGCATTAGGTTGTAGCTAATGCTGCTACCGCAGCTGAAGACATGAAAAAACAATAAAGCTCTTCAGCTCTAAGGAAGACCACGAAACTATGGCCTTAGGGACTTCGATGAAGCGTGTCCGGGCAGACGAGATAATTTGCGTTATTCTTGGACATTATAATAAATGTACAATATTTTAATACTAAAATACGAGTGAGCCTCATTTCTGAACATAGTGAATTCAATGTAGTGTACCATCGCATCTTTACATATTTTCCAAGAGAGCTTGAAAAATGTATGAAACATGTTATTTTATTAATATTAACAAAGAGATTGAAACAATATTTAAACTTTAGTTGTTATAAATAATTGTGTAATGTAAAAATAAGTAACTAATAGCTTAAATTAAAATTAAGGGGAACTTACGATGCCACCGGGAATTTACTCCTGCCTCTCAGGCAATCCACAATACTTACGGGTGCTCCGTGTTGCATACTCATAACCTTATTCTATACATTGAAAATAAGTGCACGAAAACCTCTATACTCGTATAACAGGCACGCTTGCGACCAGAAAAAATTTCTCTCAAGAAAGATGAAACAGTATTTTTTCGATAGACCTAGAATATTGTCCGCTATGTTGAGGTGTCGTTCACGAGAGAGTACGTTCAGGGTTTTTACTTTCAATGAACGAGTTTCCGTGCGTAGAAATGAACAAAAGTCTTACACAATGAAAGCATCTGCCCAATGAAATTAACCTAATTAAAATAACACAATATTATTTCAGTTAAAATGATCAAATGAGTAAAGTGAAGCAGAAAGAAACGTGAGAGGAAAAACGATTGGAAATCATATTACTGATACATATCGCGTGAGGTCTTTAATGTTAAAATGCGACTGGAATGGAAAACTAATTTCATTTGAAGGGTATGGCGCGGTAACAAGATAAGCCAAACCAACAGTAGCAACCCTCTCTAAATGTCGATTTTAGTGAAGTCTTATCTTGTTATGAAATAAGTCTCGTTCATATTTATGAACAGCTATATAACAGACTCCACTATAACACACAATTTCAGGACCGAAAAAAAAAAAAAAGTAGCATATTGAGACTACAACGAGATGTGACACACTTCGCCCAAAATAGAGCTCTTAACGAAAGGGTAGGCTTCCGCGGCCGGAGTCAGTATCTTCTTGGCTGTCCGGGAGATTCCACGTCCGATGCACAGAAGCCAACGCTTCGGTCGTCATGTTCTTCGGCGATCGTCCACATAGCGCCCTGAGGATGATGACCAAAACGTTCGCATCTGTGCCGAGGACGTGGCGTCACCCGAATAGCCAAGTATATAAGAGTTACATCCTTGAGTGTATTAATGTGAACACTGTACTTAACACACACACACACACACACGCACACACGCACACGCACACACACACACATATATATATATATATATATATATATATATATATATATATATATATATATATATATATGTGTGTGTGTGTGTGTGTGTGTATCGTGAAGGATGGATAAAATGATTTATCAGATATATGAAAAACGTAAACAAATAGCATTATATATGTGCATGATCTTGGCTGTTCGGGAGACGCGGCGTCAAAGGCTGTGTTGCCGACGTTTCGACCATCTTGTCGTGGGCTGGTGTGCTGAGAAAGACCACGATAAAAGCCAAGATCATGCACATGACTGGCCGCGGAAGCTTACGACTTCAGCATTATAAATGCTTCGCATGCCTTCCTTGGGACATTATTTGTAACTAAAGCCAATTAAGCATTGATTCAATCAACTTGTTAGGTATATTTTTGTATGTAAAGCATTAGACGGAATAGAGGGTATTTCCTCGTTCACAAGAACAATCAGAAGGACGCATCGCCGTGCACGCGCCGTGGCCGGCGCGCGCGTACTCACTGCGAATGAGCGCGACGATGTCGTGCGTGACGTGCGCCGGGAACTGGCCCAGCAGGTCCATGACGGTGTTGCGCTGCGCGTCGCGCGCCGCCAGGTCCACGCCGCCCTCCAGCAGCGCGCGCGCCACCTCCAGCTTGCCGCACAGCGCCGCCTCGTGCAGCGCCGTGCCCGCCGCCGTGCGCACGTTCACCTCCATGCCCGCCGCCAGCAGCACCGACACCACCGCCCTGCCGCACGCGCCGCGCGCACCGCTCGTCCTCAGCCGCTCGCTCGCCTACCTACCGCACCCCCCAACGGGACAGGGCACCCCGTGGCGGTTTTCCTCCTCAAAATAAGAGATTCATTCTACGTCTGCTTGATCGACTATAATTTACCCACTTCTGTGTGCTTTTAAGAAACATTTGCTAGTCATTTTACAGCATTTATCACCAGAGACAACGTTGAAAACACCTCTTAAAAGCGTGTGGAAAACAAAACATGAAATCATCAAGAGCATCTTCTTACATCGCTGATTTATCATACACAATTCCCAAGATTCAATCATGTTCACCTGTACTTGAGGTTTGCTCTGGACTGGTGCAAAAACATCTATTACATACGAATGCAAAATTAACTAAAATATTTACTCCTTCCCAAAGTCCAGATGAACAAATCGGGATGCAGTCGGGCTTTGCCTTCTCAGGTAACGCATCGTGAAAGAGGATTAGCCCGGAAGCGAGGGAGAGGGAAAACTGACCGCGGGATGCTGTCGGGCGATTTCCCCACGCACCGCCTCGAGCCTGACGCATCCCACCCACGCCCAGCGGCCTGGGTTTGCACTCAACGCTTCTCACCAAGAAACACACAAGAAACAAGAGTGAGGATGTGCTCTGTACCTTTCCCTTTTACAGGAACGTTGCATCTCACCAAACAACATTTCAGACTTAGCATACACTCAGTAAAGAAACAGACTCAATGGTACTAGAGATCTCTGCACTACCGCCCGCTACTAAAATTGTTAATTTTAGTATGTGAAGACGTTTTACCGACAATCGATTTTTTGGTATCAAAGTCCCTCCACACGTAATTCTTACTGTGCATTTTATTAGAGGAAGTAATTTTACTGCACACAGGAACAAGATTTATCCATTTCCTCGTTAATAAGGCTCGAAAATAAGAGTTTTTCTGTCGATTAATCGCCGTCATCCCCCCGCACGCGGCATTACAATACTTTGTCTATACTGCGTAAGCAGTACGCGAGAAAGTAAAATAGTCCGAATTTGTTCTCAAGTATTTCATTGGGAACAGTTCGTTGAGTTCCGAAATTCAGAAAGGAATAACGATTTTACAAACGTTGGCAACAAAAAGTGTTTATAAAATTGTTCTAAATTTAATAATTCCGAGATTATTCACTGAAAACTCAATGTAGTTGGAAAAGAATGTCTGTGAGATACCAAACTCATTATACAAAATTAAAAATTAAAAAGAACCACCTCCACTCAAATTTGTCATATATGAATGATAATGGAGGAAGAACATCAAATTTAAAATGAAAAATCAATAATATGACAATATTAATAACTAATGTGTGCGTTGAAGTCTCCCTCTCTGACGAACATCTCGAATGTTTGGAATAATATTTAAGTGGTACGCAAACGTTCTTGTTCTATTTGTAGAATGAACTAAATACGTACGTGTACCCCTTAATGTAAATACATTTGTATATTACGCTACGAGCAAGATAACACTAAATATAAAGAAATGCACTAAGTAATAAATTTGAAAGAAATTATTATAAATCAGTGTTATATATTTACTTTACTCAGAACTTTTCTTTAATGATACATTCCAAAAACGTTCGTATGAAGTGAATTGGAGTACATTCCTTCACACCTCTTCGAAAATAACTTAAAATTTTCCATGTTAAATTGACCATGTTAAAACACTCATTGCTTTATTTGGAAAATGATTATTAGACTTAAAAAGGAGTGTGTTGCAACAACAGTGAAAATCACTTCAGCCCGAGGAACACGGAATATCGTACCAACTATAAAATAATACAGACGAGTAACCCGTAAATCGAGCACAGAGCGAATACCCAAAAGAGTAATAGATTCGAGATACATTCGGCCACAAAGAGGTGCTTAACTGCACCATTACGGAATCGAACAAAGGGGCCCGATTTACAACCCGAGTACTACTAGCATTGTGCAATTGGCGCGCGGGGCACAGCCCGGGCCGAGAGGCGCCGCCGGACAGCAAAGGAAATCCGGGGGGCAGAACAAGTTATTGCCCCGCTGCGCGCCCTATCCACTTGTCCGCGCCGGCGCCGGCGGCGGAGGCGGGGCTCTGCTTAGCCGCCGCCAACAAAGCGCGGGCGGGCGTGGAAGGGCCGTTCCGCTGCGGTCAGCGCGCGCGCCCTTCGCGCGGGAAGGAGGGGGCGCGGCGCAGGGCGCGGGGCGCGGCGCGGCGCGGGCGCGCGCAAGCGGCATGAGGCCGAACGCGCACGAGATCTAAACGCCGTTGTAATGGTAAATGCACCTACGTACATATGAAGTACGCATTGCTTAAGAAGAGCAATGAATATT